TTTGGGAGCAGAGGGGTTGGTTTCTGTTTTTATTTTTTAGATTTCAGTAGAGAGTTAATAATTCAAATATGTGAGAATAGAAAACTTTATCTTCAGAATTATAATCATAGCTGTAAATACAATAGAGTCATAGCAGTAGATGCAGTAGTTGTATCATGAAACTCCTTAAGTCTTGGACTAATCACTTCACCAAACCAGGTACAAAACTGAAATGGAGTACCTTGAAAATACATCTCAAGGGGAACTGAGTGTTCCTTAAGTTTCTGACTGTCGTTTCATGTTATAGAGATTCTTAATTTCCTTTGAACCCAACTATTAAACTCAGCATTCAGAAGAAGTTTGTTTTAAGTGCTGATTTAAAAAAAAAAAAAAAGTAATTCTGAAGAGTAGTCCTTTTGGTAAATTTTCCTTATTTTTCTTTGCTTTGGTTGATTACTTCTTCACTGTGCTCCTAAACTTTCCCATGGCATACTAGTTAATGGAGCAAGTTTCTAAAGCCAGACTGACTGTTTCCACCCCTATTGGCCTGGACAAGTTACTTCTTTGTGCCTCCATTTGTTCTGTGAAATAAATAATATCTCCTTCACAAGTTTGTGTGAAAATTAAATGAGGAAATAATTTGCATATCGCTTAGAATACTGCCAAGCATATAATAGGCATCCAAAAAAAAAAAAAAAGATAGGCTGTTTTCTTGGATCTTCTCACAGTTTCTTCCCCTTTTCTCTGTTACTACCATCTCTCCTCTCAACCTCCCTGCCCCAGACGCTGTTTTTCTCCCTTATGATTAGATCAACCAATATCAGTACCTTGCTACTTCCTATTGCCTAATCAAACTGTATGCTATTTTAGTCATTTCTTAATATAACAAGTGCTTTTTCCAAATGGTTTTGGAAGAATGCTTTCAACTTCTGTGTTTTGATTAGGTTGACAGATTTTTTTAATTTCCTTCCCTGGATAATGGGTTTTTCCCCATAGTAAGCACTGTGGTTTTTTAGCTCTTAAAATATACACCAACATTCTCTAAGAAAGATGCAGTATTTTCCATGTTTTATTATATTTGTATCTTGTATGCTGAGTTCTATTAGCTATGTTTAAAATGAAGAAGAAAAGAATACCTATTTAGTTAATGTGCTGAAATTTCAATGATTCATAATGGCTGAATACCAGTCATCAAGGTATATCTTCTAGCACTAATATTGGCTTCAATGGTGTGGAGACCAGAACCACTTAACTATAAGCATGGCTCTTGTGGATGTCCCTGTTACAGCTATTAATTTCAAGTACAACATGGCATGTCTTGTATTAGGAGTCTATACTATATATTGATGTCAGCAAAAATCATTTACAAATTGTCGCTTATGACTGGACTCTAAGATAAGTCTTTAAAGACTTTTTTATCTGTTAATAGAAAATATGAAACAAAAAGTGTGGCAAGCCAGCTATTCAATCTACTAAAAATTTTGGTTAAAAACAATGGATGTATGAGCTTTCCTATTAATATTGTATCTTTAAAACCTTTGTAGATTTTATTGAACTGATTGTTCTTTTTATGTGACTTTAATTAAGATGTATTAATATTTCCCAACTTAATGTATATTCGGTAATCTTATTTGTTTCTTCTCTGTATTATATATACTATAATGTGTTAAGGTGTTCGTCCTTACATGAAAATTTACTTGTGCTTAAGAAAAAAAACATTTCCACCGTGAATAGAATAGTGTATTTCTTTGTTTTACTTCCTTAATCGATGGGGTTTTTTTCCCCCATAGTAAGCATTGTGGTTTTGTAGCTCTTAAAATATACACCAACATTCTCTAAGAAAGAAGCAGTATTTTACATGTTTTATTATATTTGTACCTTGTATGCTGAGATCTTTTTCGAGAAAGAAACACATGTTTGGTGAGTTCAAATTTCTTAAAATATGCATGATTCTTCAACCTGGAATCTAATGAAATAGGACTCCCATCTGAAAACTAAAGAGTTAAGGCTGTAACAGAGGATAAAAGTGATCAAGTGATTAGCCAGGGGCTAATAGAAATTCTGGAAAGAATGACAGATTGTATATTAGAAAGAAATGTGATCTCATATTCATTGTAGCTTTATACATCTAAAGATCCAAAAGAAATAATAGGAAATTACTGAAAGAAATGAATGTCTGAAACTTTAGAATTGCTTGTGGTGTTGGATTAATCCAAGCAAGAAAGACTGATGGGCAGATAATACATTACATTGTGTAGGAAGTCTGCATTCCTTATATTCAAGTACTTTTGTCTTTTTTTCTTTCCTCAAAATATATTTAAGTAGTTCTAGGCCAGTTTCAGAAAATTCAATTTATGATTTTCATCATTGCACCATATGTGTGTAGTTCTTTGGAATAAATAAAATATTATAAAGACTCCAAATCCTTGAGTGGAAGAGGTTAATCTAAACCGTCCTTCTGTTCTGTGCCAAATTGATAGCATTTTTCCCTATGAGAATATGAACAATATAGAACAGATTTTCACATACAGTCAATTGTGATACCCCATAACTAAAAAAGTTTGCAGAAATGTCTCAATGGGTTTTACTCAACAGCTATACGTATTCTGGGAAAAAAGAAATAGTCATAAACTAAAAAATACACATATGTATATTTTTTGTTACAGAGAAATAATTATTTGACTTCTAAATTTTACTTTGCCATAAGTACATGTTATTTAACTAAAAAAATTGACTGTGTATGTTTGCATGTGAGTACTACTGTCTATGTCCATACAGATTTACACACAAACTGGTATGTATCCTTTTTTTCTCTAAAGTTAAGTGGTCACACAGCATTATAATTGTTCAGCTACTTTTCAAATATTTTTTTTTTTTTCAGACTTTGATTTTAGGGTAAAACTTTTCAAATATTTTGATTGAGATATACACATTCTTCTTAAACTGAGCTTTTTAATCAAATTTTCCCCAGATTTTTGCCATTTATACTTAGCATTCATTTGTGTTCTTAGTTTTTGTAGGTCCAAGGAGAAAGTGAAATGTTTCCTGAAATATAAATGAGTAATAAAATTAATATGCAGACAGAGTATCTTCTTTATTCTTCATGGACATTTTCTTGTTGACTCTTTTTTTATACTTCATCTTCAAGGGGAAATAGATTCTTACTCTGTTAAACTAAAGGTTTTTTTTTAAGTATTTATTTATTTATTTTTTCCCAAATTCTGTGGGTACAAATATTGTTAGGGTTACATATCTTTCCCCTGCCCCCCTCCCCAGCCCGCTCTGCCAGAGCTTCAAGCGTGTCCAGTCTTCAAGTGGTGCGCCCTGCACCCACCATGAAAGTGTGTACCCTTCCCCTTCTCCCCGCTTCCACCTGTTCACCTCCCATTAACAAAAATTTTTTTTTATTACCTCTATCCCTTTTTAGGGAGAGGCAAAGAAACACACTGTAACCAAAATGTCTAAACTAAAGTTTTGATGCCAAATCATCTGGATTTCTCTATATTCAAGCATTTAAGTTAATGTTAAACTCAAGTATTTATATATAAATGAGTTCCATATTCTGTAACCATACTAAACTTTTCCTAGTATTTGATGGAAGGTTTATAAAATTTATTTTACGTATGTATGTGTTTAGAGACAGAGCCTTGCTCTGTCACATAAACTGGAGTGCAGTGGTCCTATCATAGCTCACTGCAAGCTCAAACCTCTGGGTTCACTTGATCCTCCTGCCTCAGCCTCCTGAGTAGCTAGGACAATAGGCACGTGCTACCATGCCTGGCTAATTGGATATTTTTTTAAAATAGAGACAGGGTCTCGCTGTGTTGCCCACACTGGTCTCAAACTCCTGGCCTCATGTGATCTTCGTACCTCTGCTTCCCAGAGTGCTGTGAATCATCTAGCCTGGCCTGAATTTATTTTTTTATAACTACATCAGAATTAGGACCAGGCACTCACACTTGTAATCCCAGCACTTTAGGAGGCCAAGACAGGAGGGTCGCTTGAGACCAGGTGTTTGAGACCAGCCTGGGCAACATAATGAAACCTCCATCTCTACAAAAAATTTAAAAAATAGAAAACTAGCCAGGAATGGTGGCATACCCCTGTAGTCCCAACTACTTGGGAGGCTGGGGTGGGAAAATTGGTTGAGCTCAGGAATTGGAGGTTGCAGTGAGCTGTGGTTGTGCCACTGCACTCCAGCCTGGGTGACAGAGTAGGACCCTATCTCTTAGAAAAAAGAAAAAAAAAAAAAAAGAATCATTATTAAATTGCTAAAAGCTAGATATTTCTTGGATCTTGTCAGATAAAATGTGATAAATAATGCTAGCTTCAGGTTTCTGACTGTATAATACAAATGAGCCCTGTTAATAAAATAGAATAAAAGAAGTTGATTCTTTTAATATGCTTAATGGTTTCCATAGAACATTTTCTAATCTTTTTTAGAGAATCATTTTAGATGTAATTCATTATGCATTCTGTTTTTGTCCTATAATTACATATGTTCATAATGTGGGTAGCAGAGAGAGGAAGAAAGAGAGAATGAGACTTCTGTGGTAGGGTGAGGCATCTCTCTCTAGTAAAAAAGAACAAATAATCAAAGTCATAAGCCATACTTATTAAACTACTATTTCTGTGTCAGTTGCTTCTAAACTACTCTAATGACTTGGACAGGAGTGATAACATATAGAGGAGTTTTTGCAAAACTTCAAACAATTTCATTTATAAGTGATCTGTAATCAAGACCCTTTCTCTTACCTAGTTTGCTTAAATGTAAGCAAAGGATATTTAATGAACTTATCAAACATTCTTCTTAACAAAGTTACTTATCTGCATTCCTGGTATATATATATATATATATATATATATATATATATATATATATATATATCTTTGGAATAGTGCATTATGAGTTAATTCTATATTTTGTCATAGTCCTAATGGACATCTGTGTTCCTGGATAGATTATTATTTAAATGTTTTAAAATTATAGAATTCTAATAGGAATCTCTTTCTTTTTGCAGCTATGTCATCTTATCTTTTCATTATTAAAACAGAGCTTCCTGCTGCTATTTCAGAATTTTTAACTGGAGACTACAGTGGGTAAGAAAAATATTTCACATTGTGTTCATTCATTTATTAATTCAATAAATATTTATTAAGCTCTACTGGCAAGTGAAACAAATGTAGTCCTTGCCCTCAAGACACTTACAAATTAGGCAGGGGTGGAAAAGTAATAGAGTAGAAAATACTTAGCAGATGTTTATTGATTACCCATATGTACCAAGCACTGTGCTGTGAACCATCAGAAGCACCAGATATAATCCTTGTATTCCTTGAGGGTGTGAGATGGGCTAAGACAGGTCTGAGATAGATCTTGGAGAAGAATAAAAGAGAAATTTCTAGAGATATGAAAGATTGGGCGGGGGGATAGGAAAAAGCTCATGGTACTGGAAGTAAAGTTCTTAAAGGAAAAGAGTAAATAATATTGCTGTCACTTCTCAACAAATCACAGTGATGAAAAATTCGGCAGTTACAACCATATTGTGTGAGGTTCTTATTATATAGTATGGTTAAAAAAAAGTATTTGCAAGTTCATTTCCTGTTTTTTTAAACAATATTATAAGCAATTCTAAACCACGCTATACCTCCTTTCTCCTTTCTCCTTTATTTAAAAAAGACTAGGTTCTAAAGACTTGATTCATCCCTTTTGTGCAGAAAAAAATTAATTGTGTTTTTTATTTCACTGTGTAGAACAAGAAATTTTTAGAAAAATGAACTTGAAAAGATAGAATAAATCCTTTTAATTGCCATCAAGTTATTTAACACAGTTTTCAACCCACAACACAAAATCCATCAGACTTTTAGGTTTAAATATTTGGTTGTTTTGCTTCAATAATTGAACTTGTTCTGGAATGCAGGGAAAGTTCCAAATTCAGTTTTTCGCTTTGACATCTTGGCTTCCATTAAAGAATTCTACTTGCACAAGTGCAAATACATATTTGTAAGGAATGTATGGTATACTTTAGAATAGAAACCATCAAGCAAATTTGATTGAAAAAAGGTAGATAGAAGTTCTTAAAGATTTTGCATCATCAGAAGATAATGTGCCTTTGTATAGTACTTTACAGTTTACAGTGTTTCCACATTCACTGTCACATCTGATACTCAACAACTACCTTGTTTTATCTACACCTTCATCTAGTTACATTTTGATTTTATGCTTTTAGTTTGATAAACACTTGCTGTAAGAAATAACTATGTGAAACTCACTTTGTATTTGCTCTGAAAATATTGAGGACAGCTTCTATTATTCAAATTCTGTGTGAAACATGTATTTTATAATTTAGGGCTAAGAGCTCAAGGCAGTGTGAGGTGGAATAAAGAATGCTAGACTAAGACTAAGGAGACATGTGTTCTATCCATTTCATATTCAATAACCTCAGGAATCTAATTTAACTTCTTTTGGGTGTATGACTTAACTTTGAGCCATAGGTTTTTTTACCTGGTGTAATGGGCTTACAAATATTGCCTTCTTAACACAGTTTTTGGGATGATCAAATAAGATATACATACAAATGCTTTTATAAGCTGATAGCACAATGTAAATGTGGAGAATTAAGAAATTCCAATAATAATGACTATATTAAAGATAGTGTTTCCCTTTTTGCTCTGACTGCCAGAAAGCTCAGAGTCAAATTTGAATGTATTGCATAAACTGTTTTAATCCCAATAATTGTCATGTATGTTTTCCTTTTTCTTGGTCCTGAATTTGGTGACATTTATTTAAATTTTTTAGTGTCATATGTCTTTGTGGAAAGAGAAAGGATATAAATACATATAAAATTTTGAAATAATTAAAGTAATATGTGGCAGAACTGGTATTGAAACTTAGATGATCTTTCTCTAAAAGAGATACTTTACCACAGCTTCATTTTAAACTATTTGCCATTTACATTGTTCAGGTTTTTTCTTTTTTTTTCAAACAAAAGTTAAAATGAACTCCCATCTCATATCTCATATTAGTAGAAAATTGATTAAAATGTTACTTTTATATATCAGAAATGGATTTTTTAAATTGTGTACTTCAAAATACTATGGCTAGTTTGTATCTTCTCAGTTATGATGTTTTAAAATTGTACATCTTTTTAACAACCTATTCTTGTTTTAAATGTAATATGTATTCAACTTATTTTGGATTTCAGAGTTTTGAAAAAAATTAATAAATGGCTAATTATATTAATTGGTTAGAATGCAGATAAATCATTAATCTTTAAAGTTTAATTATGTAAAATAATTAAGAAGCAAATGTTATGATAATTGACTTTACTATCTATATAGAACAGTTTATTTCTAGATAGAGTGACATAGCAGGATTTCCTCTAAGAGATTAATGTATTGATATGTTGATTTTGAGATTTGATTTATAACACATTTTAATTAAGATCTTTCAGGTGTGCTTGTTTTCTGGATTATCTGAGTTTGATATACCTTTGTGAAATATAAATCTTTATAAAAATATTATCAATAAACTTTGTGTTCATAATATTCTAATTTCAAACATTTCTATTAGAAGTCAGAGGCTATAATGCTTATACTGAACTTTCATGATACATCTATATTTTTCAAAGAATAACTTATATTTTTAAAATCTATAGCTGTTAAAAGTTGGAAGCTATCTGTTAACATTTAATGATCTTGTCAGGGGAATATGATTGACACAATTAAGTTGTCTTGCATTTGAGTTACATAATTGATATGGGATGTGAGTAAGATCCTAATTCAGAACATATGATACTCTTGTTCCATTCCATTCGGGAATGAAATTAAAGCAACTTATAAATAAATCTGGTTTTCATTAAAATATGGAAAAAAACATCTGCATGCCAAAGCATTTGCAATACAGCTAAGGATTTATACTCTATATTTCATACTTGGAACATTTTTATCATATAGGATTAAATCCACAGATCAAACAAGTTTTCTAGGAAGTATAAAACTTTTTACTCTAATTCTTTTGGCTTAAAGAGAGTGTATATTTAGATCACAGTAGGAAAACAGGAGTTCAGTTAGATAATTCTTTATTCTCCCCTTAGGAAAAAATTTAAAGTTAGTACATTCTTCTAAAATCTTGATTTATAAAATAAGCTTACTTAATATGCACTTTTTGAGACTTCTTTTTACTTGTTTGTATTTCTCAGGCTGGAGTTTTGTTTTATAAGTTTAATCATTTCTGTTCTTTGGAAAATATCCATTGCCGAACACAATTCATTTAGCTGTGACACACACATGAAATCTAAACTAACTTTACATTACTGTGGTGCCTTTATTGTTAATGAATGGTAAAGAAAAGCACTACATTTACATTAGGCTTTATTAAAATAATAAGGATTAAAAAAGCTTAATAATAAACCAGTAGCCAAACTGGGGTAGAAAATTTTATTTTATAATAAAATTCTTTTTTGCATTAAAAATTTAAAGTCCAGTCCTGTGAAAAGGAGAGCACAAAGCATGATCTTGAAATAAATGAGGCAGTATCTGAAAAATACCATAAACTTAGAGTGACTATTGAGGAATATTTTCATCACTACTGTCACTAAGATCATCACTATCCTTTTGCTGATTTTACAGACATATACAGTGAAGCTGTTGAGCCAGATGATCTCTAAGATCTCTTCTAGCTATAACGTTCCATAAGTCTGTGAGTTTGAGTTACTGCTGGGAAAAGGCACAGTTATATTCAAACCCACAGTTTAGTGCTTTGGTCAGTCATATGATTTCTATGGGCATAAATGAATTGTGGTCTGAAATGGTATAAAATAACAGTTGTTCAAGATTTCAAAATTGTTCCTTTATTCTTATGCTAGAGAAGAATCCTGGTCCTGGGGATTAACATGTTCTTTTTTGTATAACTCTACCTCCATGACATTTTTTTTCCCCTTTTAAAGAGAGAAATTGGTTTATAATTATTTTTTGTTTTATTTTATTATGATAAGAACACTTAATGTGAGAGCTACACTCAACAGATTTTCAAGTGTACAATATAGTATTGTCGACTAACAGGGACAGCAGAACTAACAGATGGAATCTACTTTGGTGCTCCTTTGGGCATTTTTTCTCCTGGCACTGCAACTGTCTGGGCCTGATAGTGGGTCCCTGAAGGAAAAGGCATTTCAGACATAGAGCCCTGGGCTTTTTGCCAGCTTCAGAAATTTAGTTGCCAGGTGTTCCTCAGTGAAAGATATTTCAAAATTCCTATTTTGATTCTTATTCAAGAGTGACTAGAAAAATAAACATGTTAAGTATCACTTTGTATTTTTAATTAGTATATTCTTTTAGCACTTCCTGCATACCAGGAATTGCAGGACATTGAGCTTCAGGTCCATTAGAGCTAGAAATACTTGTGCACAAGTTATATAATAGTTTCTAGCACATGCATTTCCTAAGGGCACAAATTAGGGTAGAGAAGGGAAAAATGTGATTATGGTGCTATTTCTGTTGCTGCTCCTTCTCTTATTCCGTTAAAGAGAAAGTTGTTAGCATGCAATAGTAATGATTAAAGATACATTGAAGAGGACTTCCTTATAAACCACAGTATAAAAGATATGCAGTGAATTATAAAGTCCATGTTAGAAGCCAAGGGTTGAAACTCATGTAGAGGAAAACCCTTTCTTAATTTAACGTGGCAGTGGAAGATTTTGGCTATCTGGTAGACAGTGAAAGAGGATGCATTATTGCAAAGTGGGAACTTTGAGATCATCTACCACATAGTTTGAAAAATTTATCATATTAGGGGTCTTTGATGTCCCCAGGTCCCATTTTAGCATTAGTTTTACTTTGTTACTATTGTTCATGTGTATATATATATGTATATGCTTCCGCACAAAACTATGATAGCTATATTACAAAAAAATTTAGAAAAGAGAGCAAAGAATTATAATGTAATACCATCTCTAACCTAATCACTGTCCTCTTTCTTTTGTATTTTTTCCAAACATCTTTTTAAAACATAGTTAATAATCATATATTTTAGATCCTTATCATTTTTCATTTTATTAGATTGTCTTTTTAAAACTATATAACATTCCTTTGAGTATACTATTATTGACCTAAATAATTCCTAATGTAGGGTATACAGAGTTTTCTCCCAGCTACTTTTTTCGGACTATGCTTACCCACCAGTTTCTTATTATTATAATATTGTATTCAACAGTTTCATACATATAGAGTTTTCTCTATTTTGGATTATTTTCTTAGAATAGATTACCTCTGCATTTTTTTACTCTTGCTACATACTATCATTGTTTCTCCAGAAGATGATACTAATTGACAAGATTACTAGCAATGTATGAAGTCCAATTATGCCACATCTTTGAATATTATTTTTTAATAATTTTGCTAGTTTAATGTCAACAGTTTCATTATTTCCTTAATTAGCACCAGTAATTGGATTTTTCTTCATGTGTATTTACTGGTTATACTTTTTTCATGAATTGTTTGTTCTTTATATACAAATCTTTTAAGGACTTGAGGAATTAACTTTAACCTTTTGAAATTTCTACCCATTTATTTCACATTAAAAAAATTGAAACCACATTATATGCAAACAAGGAAAAAATAAAAATCACTCATATTGCTACCATTTAGATATATCCACTTGTGGTATTTTAAGTATATCTTTCTGGCTTTTTATGTGCATCAAGTTTTGTCTTTTATAATGAACAAATACCGAATGATACTGTTAACTTACTTTTTTCTCATTCAGTATTCTAATGTATTTAATGCTTTTTTATTGGTACTACATGCTGTTTCCTAAAATTTGGAAAAATATAGGAAATATAAAGAAGAAAATTTACCCATCATTCTGACTCTCAGAGATAATGCCTATCAATATATTGCAGTTCCTTCCCATTTTTAATGTATCTGTGTTTTTCCTCAAGATTATCATGCTGTATACACACATGATGTTTACTGAATATTATATTGTTGTTTCAGAATTATCATAATCTGAGATGTTTGTTTTCAATTTTATTTTAAATGTTTTCAATAACATGTTTTTACAAAAATCTTTGTTTTTATTGTTTCTTTATTTTTAATGGTCTTTTTAAGTGTTAAAGGGTATAATTATTTGAAGGTCCTCTATATTTATTACCACATTGCTTTCCAGACATATAATTTATATAGTTTATACTTTTACCATTTCTTTTTTTTTTTTTTTTGGCACACCTCATCACTCCTTACTAATGTTGACTGTTATCTTATTTTTAAATATTTGTTAAGTTGGTAGTTGAAAATGGAATTTCACTTATTTGATATATTTTCTAAATGTAAATTCATTAATAAGAATAATAGGGTCCCACAAGAACATTGTAACAAAATGAAGTAGGCTTTTCCTAATGGGTAGTTATAATGATTGTAAGTGTGTGCATCTGTGTGTGTAAGAACAAACACTGGAGTCCTGGACCTAAAATAGAACTTTTTTCCTAATAGATCTTGGTATCTTGATGGACAAACACTACTAATAGTCATTTGTGTTGGTATTGTGTTCCCTCTTGCACTTCTTCCCAAAATAGGTAAGTCTTTATAAAAGAGCACATAGTTTGTTTAGAAAAAAGAAAGAGAGAAGCAGGGAGGGAGCAGGGAGAAATGGGAGGGAGGCAGAGAGAGAGAGAAATATTAAGGGGCTTTTAAATTTCACAGTACCACATTTTTGGCAGAAGGGTGGTGGTTGTGAATAATTTTAAACTTGGCCTTATTTTAGGTTGTTCAGCCTTCAGTCCTGCCTAGTTAACCTATTACTTGGTTTGCAGTAGTATTTTGTCTGCCCCACTAAAATAAAATCTTTACAGCGGAACATTAAAGAGCAGCCTTTCCTTACAGTGTACCATTAGTGGTAAGCCAGTTCCAATTCTGCTGTACAGAGCTGCATAAATGATCTGTGACAGATAGTTGGAATGTTGTTATTCTGAGCCCTAAGCCCCAGATACCAAGCACCATAATAGAAAACATGCCCAAGATGTATAGCTTTAGTAGTACGTTAAATTCACTTTCCTTATAAATTGCTTTTTATTTTACTGTTATTTTACAGGCTTTCTTGGCTACACAAGTAGTTTATCATTTTTCTTTATGGTGTTCTTTACTCTTGTGGTAAGTTTAAAATATAATGCATTGCTTATCTCCTCACAAAAATTGGCTTCATTGTGTTAATGTCTTTTTTTTCTTTTAATTCTGTTGTGTGTTGAGAAAGGTATTCCATTTTATTTCATTGTATTATTAAAAGCACTTTTGTTCCACAAAATTATTTCCTTCATTGTATCTATTTTGAAGAGGCTTAGCTAGAGCAGCATTTCAAATTCAGTATCTGATGTGGTTCACTAGAGAACAGAGCACACCAGTAAAGTTAAAACCGTAGGTATATCAGTTAATTTCTGTATGATATTGTGTGAAGAATCAGTCTAGTTCTAACATGTAAAATAAATTTGATACTAGTCATCTTAATTTTGAAACTTTGTTCCATTAATGAAACCAGAGCTTCTGGGACTTCACTATTGAGAAGATCTAATAAGAACTGGGGTGCCTGAATTCTCCAATCTGGTCTGGTTGATTCAACATAAATAAGTTCTCATAAAAACACCATTTCAGATAAATATTTTTCTTCACATGTGGGACATACTTCTTCTTATTTTTATATTAGCTACTTTCTATTATAACATAGAAAAATATCAGATAGTAAATTTAACTTATTTTGAAATTATAAAATAATTTAATATAAAGATAAAAGAGAATTTGAATTTATTTCCTTTTAATCCTTCTAAAATAGATCTTAACATCCTAAAGTTAATATCTTTGTGTGAAGTTTTTTTAAAACCCTTTTTTTCTTTGTATGGCAGTTTACTCCATAGTCAGTATCTAAATGCCAAACCTTAAGTAGTATTAAACATTTTTAACTTGTCAAGAATATACATATCGAAATGGCCTTTTCATAAGCTTGGTTGAACTCTTCCTTGTTATTAAGAAACAAATGAAAGAAAATTGCTATTATACATAAGAGCAAGACAGCACATCAGTTGTTAAGCCATATTATAGAGCCAGATTTCAAACCTCTCAAAACAACCTAGGGTACATTTAACTTTAACTAAACTATCTTCTGAAACATAGGGATAAAACAACTTTAAATTATTTAAAGAAAGTGTAAGTGACCGTGTTTTCCGTGTATATAAGTATTTATATGCTAATGAAAGCCCTTAAAACTGAAAATATTTAACAGTATTTGAATTTAATCATTTGTTGAATTCATCAACGTTAAAATCATTCCTCCTCCGTCCCCAGTTGTTTGATTTGTATCTTACAAATAAGTGAATTAAACATATACTTTGTAGGCTACATACTGATGAGAGAAACAGTATATATTTTCATTATAATTTGATTGTCAAGAGACATCTACATGGATAGGAATGGCTTACATATGCAAATGAATGTGTGGATACTAAAGAGAATCGGTATAGATAACATTGAATTTTCCCTCACCAGATAATTGGCAATCCAAGCATTGCATAGGTAGGATTAATTTAGTTTTCATAACCAATAGCTTGAAGCAGGTGAAATGTATTGATATACTATGTCTACTGTAGTTTTTGTATCTGTCATGGTAAAGACTGTTAAATTCAATACAGATTTCTATTGTAGCAGTCACATGGAAATAATATTCTTATTCTGCATTTATGGTAATGCCTTATAAACATCTACTCAGATTTTTACCTATGACCACAGTTTAAATTTAATCTGCAATGGGACAATGAAGAATACTTTTGTACATTTTCTTAAGTGCTCTTTTTAATTGGCATATTTATTTTAGTTTCTCTAAGTGTTAGGTTTTGAAATACATAGTATTTAGGAAAAGGAAACATGTATGTATATTAACCTAGATTTTTTTTGAAGGATAGCGATTTTTTTATTCTTTTTGTCAGAAGTGTTTGTAAATTTGTATAATATTTTTATTATATTTTTAAAATATCAGTCCAGAAAACTATTATTTTCTTAATTATACTTTTCAAATAATATAAATCAAAACCTATACTCTAGTCTCGCAAATCCTTATTTGCATAAAAAATTTTCGTGTAAGTATTTGCCCCCTCTAAAATAGCTAAAAATTTAAAAAATAAACTTTATTGGTGGTTTACAATAATGATAACCAGATGGATTTACTTTTTTGGGTAAATTTACCTTTTTTGGTGCATTTTAGAACACAAATGGATTGCCATTCTTTCTAAAAGTTCTATCTTAAGTACAGATTAGAATTCTAAGCAATATTTCAATAAGTCAGTAATCAAAATAGAGATCTATTTAAATGAATTGTAGTCAGAAGCTTTCCTTCTACTGAGCACTATGTTAGACATAGAGTGTGGGAATTTAACCTGTTCACTACTTGTGAAGATCTGTCAATCTAGTAGGGGAGATAAGGGAGGCCGCTTGTGCAAGTGAACATTTTTAATAATCTCCTTTTTCCTTTTGTCTTTCTAACCCCCAGATTTATCTTCTTACCATGTTCTGTTTTCAACCATAGCAATGACTCCCTGTTTATCTTACCTCTTTGCTGTTGAGTCTTTTTCCGTTCCTATTCTGTCCTTCTGCCTTGTAGGACATCATCTCTATACACCCCTTACCACCATGCAGGCTTGGGGTTGGGATGAATCTTTGTAGAGAAATAACAGCTGATAAAATAAGTGAGCTAGCTCACAGAGCTTATCAAGGTACCTGGTACACAGCAAGTACTCAATTAATGGCTGTTCCTGCCAGTACCACCACTGGTAGTAAGGGGGAAATGTGAGAAACTGTATTTGGAACAATTTCAGCATGGCAGAAGTGAGACCAGTAACAGCCTTGATTCTCTAGCTTCTCCCTGGCCCTATCCTTGTCCTTTTTTTTTTTTTTTTTTGAAAACTTATCAGAAAAAAAAGATTATTGCTTTTGATTTTGTCCTTTCCTCTTAGTAAGCTGACTATTTAGTTTTATTTCCTATTGAAAACTTACCTAGTAATTTCAAAGCAACTTGCCCAGTTTGTCCTTATACAATAATTCTTTCTTTTTTTTTGGTGAGATTTTTAATTAAGAGTGATTCTTCATGTATTAACTTAATCCTAAAAATATATCTTTTCTTTAGATTTGTTCTATCACTATGTAAAAATTTGATTGAATTAATTAAAAATCTAAAACTTGGTAAATACCAAATAGGAATAAGAATAGTGTTTACTTATTGGTCTCCTGCAAAGGACAAATACTTCCTTTATTCTCCCTTGCCCCTTTGTATGCTGGGATTCAGCCTGGAGCAAACATTTACAGAGTAATTATGTGCCCTAAAACAAGGGAAACAATGGTAATGTTGACACAGCTACAACTATAGGTCTAGGAGCAGGATGGCCACAATTAATAGTAAAGACCTGAAACATTTTCATTGATTAATTCTGGGAAACAGCATCCCTCTGATTTCTTTTAATATTTTTTAACATTATTTTTACCAGCTGGAGTTCCCTAGCTATGTGCTCTTATGCTAGCCAGCTTTCCCCACATTTGACAAAAATAAAACAAATCTATAAAAAACAAATCTGTAAAAGTAAGTAGGGGCAGCACTTATACATACATCAGAAATCCTTGAGCTCCTCCTTTGCATAAGGTCTACTTCCTTCTGCCTGTAGCCTTTCCTCCAACTGCTATTAATATTTCTCTATCCACCACTGACAACAGGTTCATAAATGACCATATTCTTGTAAAATTATAACTGAAAACATGTTCCCATCTTGAGTTCCACTTTTTAAAAAAATGCCTTAATGCTGTTGGTTTTGAAAGTTAAAGAGTACTCTTGGTCTTTAATGGGGGAGAACCCCATTAAACAAATATGTAGCATCCTGTGTCCCCACCACATGTACCCCTATACTCCACCACAGGTGACCATGTTAAATGATGATCCCAAAATTGTATAAGTAGAGAATTTTCTGTTAGCATCTTATTTGGTATGATATTAGATTAACTGAAATAATGCTGACCTATTTTATATCAATTTCTTATTAATTTTATAAGAAATAATCTGATTCTATTTATTTTCGCAGATAATAATTAAAAAATGGTCCATCCCTTGTCCTCTAACATTAAATTACTTAAAGGAATGCTTCCAGGTATTAACTTTTATTTCTTTTCAGTTTCTTTTATTTTAAACCAATTTTTTTTTTTTTTAAATGAATGGTTCTTTTTTCCTGATAATGAAAAGCAATAGCTACATAGCATTTTGGAAATATGTTTTGAAATATTTTGGTTTGAAAGTGTATTAATAATAAATTTATCATTTTTGTTGATATATTCTGATTTTTAATGGCTGTTGATTTCTCTTTTTCCCCTCAATACTCTTAAACAGATTCCAAATGTTACAGATGATTGTAAACCAAAGCTCTTTCATTTCTCCAAAGAGGTGTGTAAGTTATTAACAGATACTTTGGTTGATTTTTCACATTTCAAGTTTTAAGAGGTTTATGTAACAGGGTCTCTTAGGTCTTTGTACCTGTAACTAATTAATTTTCTCGAAAGTGCTAAGTATAGGATTGCCTACCAGAAGAATACTATTATTTAACACAGGGTGGCCCATTATGAAACAGCCACCTGTTTTTTTTCTTGGCATGCCTTTAAATGGAGCCTGTTTTAAATGGGCCTCTGCCTAAAAGAACAGATTTACCGAATGTCTGGTCTGGCCAATAAGGTCCTCTGTGGATACAGACTTCCTGTTGCCCTCTGGACTTGTAAAGCTAAATAGCCAATTATATCAAAAACTCCTCCCCTGTGAGTAGAACCTTGGTCTGTAGCTAAACAGCCTCATCATTGGACCAGCAATTGAACACTGCCAATATATCTTCTGGCCAACATTCCAAAGTTGAAATTTATGATGTCTGGAGTAGAAACTAGAAGACGAAATCCTTTCGCCTTCTCTAAAAGCCATGGACACTGGAAACGCCTACAAGAGCCCCTGAGCATCAGCAGATGGATGACAAAAGAACTGTAATCTGGATGGTCTCTGCTTTACCACACTAGAAGAGCTCAAAGTCTTCCCTGTTGTTGCAAGTCTCTTTATCTACACTTTCTGATTCTGCTGAAATGCTGGTTTGTAGGTCCCAGATGCTAGAATCTCTTCCACTCACTTTAGTAGTGTAAAATGTTAGTGTGGTTACTTCTCCATGCAGAATTTTCCTTTTTATCTCTAGGTTTTAAATGACAAATGTCTCTCTGGCCTCACAAGGGAGGTTACCACATCTCTTACATGGTAAAGACCTCCATGTGCCTTAAAGATCTAGGTAGAATAATTGACAAGCCAGGAAATTGAGCAATATATGAAACAGAGATTTTGTGAATTAAACTCTCATTCCCCTAATCCAGCCTCAGGAAACACAACAGCTTCCTTCCTCCCAGCCTCCCTCAGATATTTTAGGAGTCTATTTATGTCCCAAGATAGAGCTGCATCATCTGGAACTTCTTTTGTTGAAGAGCCTGAAGTTAGTTAAGGGGAAAATTTTTTTGAACAGAAAAGAGAAGATAAATCACCACCATCCATTTGGTAAAGATAGTATTTTCATTTAGGTGGTAACTATTTTTCCTTTGTAACTTCTTCTGGCTCTTGTTAAGTATTTTAATAATAAAAACAAAAGGAAAGAAAGCCTTATACTTGTGTGTTCCATTGGCATACACAAGAGTTTGTAAGTCTAAAATAAATGGTGTTCATTCCCATTGAAAAAGATCCTAATCAAAGATTGCAACAATAAAATGTGACTAATAATTTCAGTATTACCTTGGAGGGAGTTGGTGACAGTCCCTTGGATTGAGTCGGTGAAAGCAAGTTTCAAAAACATCAACAATTATTGCTACTTAGGGTAATAAAATGTATTTAAATTATACATTCATTAGGAAAGACAGAATTATAATAAGAACATTTTTAAAATGTTATTTTTATCTTACCTAAGTGTTTTATCTTACTCAAATAATGTAGAAGAAGCAGTGATTGTGGTAAAAGCAACAGGATTTGGGAAGGCAGTCAAAAAATATTCTGGCTAGCACAGGCAAGTCAACTATCAAGTAAAACATTTACTGGTGACCATAGGTGTTTCTCTCTTTAAAAAAAAAAAAATTATTTGATAAAGAGATGACTTGTGAAAGATGAAATGAATTTAATCAAATTAATTTTTTGAAGAACTGAATTTGTTGTCAAATGAAGGAGTGGTTTCAATAGAGTAACATTTAATAATTTTGTGTTTTAAAACTTTTTTTCAGAGTGCATATGCTATACCAACCATGGCTTTTTCATTTCTGTGCCATACCTCAATATTGCCCATATATTGTGAACTTCAAAGGTACTGTAGAATCCTGGAATATTTTAAATGCATTGTCCATCTTTTTACCTCTAGGGCTTTCAGATTGAATGACATTTTTCTTTATGAATCCTTTCCTCCCATGAGTGGATTCTAAGTGTTAGTTTAAAACAAAACAAAACAAGCAGGAGGTAGTTCTGTCCATGTTGAAAATGTTCCCTAGAAGTGTAATCTTTATGTACTAATGTCTTTTGTAAAATTTTTATTTATTTATTTGATGCATTATTTTTGTACATATTACAAATATACTTATGGGGTACATGTGCAATTTTGTTACATGCATAGAATGTGTAATGATCAAGACAGGGTATTTAGGGTATGGGTCATAGGAGTGTTTATCATTTATATGTGTTGGGTACATTTCAAGTCCTCTCTTCTAGCTAAGTTGAAATATATAATACATTATTGTTAACTGTAGTCACTGTACTCTGCTAATAAACATTAGAACTTATTTCTTCTATCTAACTGTCTGATTGTACCCATTAACCAATCTCTCTCTTTATTCCCCTCCTTTCTGAACCATATACCCTTCCCAGTCTCTGGTATCTATCATTCCACTTTCTACCTCCATGTGATAAACATTGTTAGCTCCCACATATGAGTGAGAACATGCAATTTTTGTGGAATTCTAGTGTATAGCTATTGATGAACTAGGTTTTAAATGATTGAGGAGTCCTCTTAACTAGCTTTGGGGATACTTGTTTCCTTAAATATAATTCAGATCACTGATTCTACTTTTGCCATTTTTATCTTTTAGCCCTTCAAAGAAAAGAATGCAGAATGTAACCAATACAGCAATTGCTTTAAGTTTTCTCATTTATTTTATATCTGCACTCTTTGGGTACCTTACTTTTTATGGTGAGTATATTTTTAAATTATAGATAACAAAACAAATAGTTACACAGATGATCCTCACACCTGAGTATAGACTTTGTTTTTGTCTTTTATTGGTAAGTTAATTTGTTCAGCTGTCAGATTGCAGTATCATACTCTGTTGGCTCTTGGGGCCTTAAATAATTGATTCTCTTTGTCTTAGAAAGGTGGATCAAGTTTAAGATTAATGACTTCTTACGAAAATTTTCTTAAATACCTAAGTAAAACTTCAGGCCTAGGGACATTGATGTGTTTCTACAAGAAAAAAAAATGCAATAATGATTTTGCTTTTCTTAAATCTTGAATTCAGTATATTAGACCTCTAGTTCAGAAATTTGGGGATTGGAAAAGTTAGTCATCTTAATTGTAAAAGAACAAGTTGAGAAAGGAAAGAGTGTTTACACTGGGCTATATTCATATATTTAGATGTTAGACATCTCTGCCTTCAGACTTAATTATCACAGGATTAAACAGCTGTGATGCATCATAACCTTTCTCCTTAATTTTTTAAAAGATTATTTTAAATTAAAAAAATAAAATTTTCTTTTACTTATTTTAGAAAAATTATCTGCTTGGTATGTTAATTTTTTTTCTCTTCTGATAACCTCAAGAAAAAGTAAAACTTAAAAGTCTAGAACAAGATAAAACTTGTAAGCTCTCGTTTAATTTACAAATATGCTTATTTAATTTGCAAGCAAATACATGATAACACAAGTTACACTGAATTTTTCAAATTCTGAATACACTTTTCAGTTTATGAACACTTTTATAACAACTATCCAAGTAAATAGCTGTTATTACCTTGGTAATACTTAGCTGTTATGACTCTGATTTCATAGTTGATATCCTTGTGCACATGTTTCAGGTTTTTAGACATCCATAATGACTGACAGTGGCACTTATCTCCCAGAGTTTTTCCAACTCTAACAAGTTTTGGGGCAATGTTTACACCCTTTTCTAAGCCTGGTGGAAAGAGGGTGGGATATGAAATTCAACAAATCTGGTTCAGAAAACTCCTAACTTAACTATATGACCTCAAAGAGAATACTTCACCTTGCAATATTTTCATTTCCTAATCTGTAACATGGGAATAACTGCTTAGGGTTGTATTGAGAGTAAATGAGTTGTATGTAAAATGCCTGTTACAGTATCTGGCATATAACCACCCTCCACAAATGAGAGCTACTGCTAGTGGTATGTTGCTATTATTATCATTATTATTGTAATTGTTTCATAATTTCAGGTGCTCTGTCATCAATGTAATTCTCTTCTTACTATCTTTAATAGAATTTAATTTAAATATGGTAACTTTTCAGTATATGCTATATTATCTGGAGTTTTTAGTTTAGGAAAAAATTATAATTGTTCCATATAATGCTTCTTTTCTTGCTATTTCTATATTAGTTCAACAGTAATAGTTGAACTAATTAGTTCAATTTAAATCAGCTCTTGCATTTTTATACTGTTGTAAGATGAGGGTGGTAGAGTGTAATAGAGCTCTGTGTACACCATCAGGAAAAGCATTATTTCCAACATGAACATGGTGCCCTGCTGGAGACATTACAAAGAACGTTAAAACAGATTGTCAAGCTTTTCTGATCATTGTTAATAAAACAAAATTCTTGATGCACATAAGCTCTATTTTTGTTTGTTGGGTTTGTTTTATACAGACTTTAACTCAATAAGACTTTTCTGAATCAATAAGATACTATAGCAGGGTCTCTTGGGATTCAGAAAGATTTAGTATAGCAAAATAGCTGTATTTTTTAAAAATTAAAATAGTCGGCCGGGCGTGGTGGCTCACGCCTGTAATCCTAGCACTCTGGGAGGCCGAGGCAGGCGGATTGCTCAAGGTCAGGAGTTCAAAACCAGCCTGAGCGAGACCCCGTCTCTACCATAAAAATAGAAAGAAATTAATTGGCCAACTAATATATATAATATAAAAATCAGCCAGGCATGGTGGCGCATGCCTGTAGTCCCAGCTACTCGGGAGGCTGAGGCAGGAGGATCGCTTGAGCCCAGGAGTTTGAGGTTGCTGTGAGCTAGGCTGACGCCACGGCACTCACTCTAGCCTAGGCAAGAAAGTGAGACTCTGTCTCAAAAAAAAAAAAAAAAAAAAAAAAATTAAAATAGTCACCTGACACAAATACTATCATATTTAGGAATCTTTAACATTGAGAAAAAGCAAAGCAAAAAAAAAAAACCTGACCTACTCTTCCCTATAGATAAATAAAACTATCTGGAAGAAACCTCAAATGGCCTACCAATATCCAAGATGGTTGAGAAATAGTTTCATGAATCACTATTAGATGCTTAGGAGCTATATTAAATTGTAAGAAAGTTTAGCTTGAAAGGGATGTGGAGGAGGAATGGATGCTAATACATTTATTGAGTATTTAAGTAAGTATCAGATAATTTTATATACATTCTCTTAATCCTTATAACAACTCTGCACTGTTGGTATATGTTCATTTAGGTTGAGTAATTAAAGCAGACACCTGCAGCTAATGAATAATGGAGTTGGAATTTGAATCCAGTTTTATCTCTCTCCAAAGCCAATGCCTTTATTACTGTGCTGCCTTCTCAGAAATTATGCCATAGAACCCAGATTTCTTTCATTCCAAGTTTTTGTTAAAGTGAACTTTTGGAAAAATCTGGCTCACTTACGCTCCAGGTGTCTGTCTATATGTCTGTCTGTCTATATATTATTGTTAATTGGACACAAAGACTAAAGGTTTTCATCATGTAAATGAAATGTTTCCTAGACAGGGACTTGCTTAGTTATCAAATAAAGCTGTTATATTGGCTTTAACTTCATACTTTCTCTACTAATGCAAATTCTTCAGAGTATCCAAATTTTATATAATGGAGAAATACACATCTAAGATAAATCACATTATAGATAGGTGTATTATTTATAGGTATATAGATAGATAGAATAAATGGTATAAAAACAATTTCTTCTCCAAAGACAGAAGATGTAGATATTGATTTGCTTTCACAGTGACTCATTCTGGGGTTCTTAATTATAACCAAGGAAAACCTTTTATGGTATCTTTTTATCAGGATAACAGGAAAACCTTTATGGTATCTTTTTATCTGTCTTATAGGACAAAATTGCTAATTAAGCCTGAGATCTTTTCAGAAAGGCCAGCCTTAATTTAAGCCTTTCAATTCATTTTATAAATGAGCAACTAAAGCTCAGAGAAATGAAGTGACCTGCCACAGAATTAAAGGCAGGTTTCCTGAATGCTAATCCAGTATTCTTTCTGCTACTTTGGGATAATCTTTCTAAACTTAATACCCTGTAAGACAGTCTCCTGACTTCAATAGCACATATAACTTGCAGAGAGCACCATCAGGTCCTTTCTGAGATTTGTAGAGATTTGCCTGAATCCAGAGAAGCATGTTGTCCTCTATCCCTTACATGTGTTAGGACTCAGCTAAGAACACAGAATGATTGGCTCAGAAAAAGGTTTTCAACCTGGAAAAGTGGAAAGTAGACATGTGATTATATTTTGAATAATAAATCTAATTTTTTCAAGCTTCAGGAGCTATTTGGGATCCTTTTATCCAAGGCTCCAAAGGCTTGGTTAATTTCTAAATTTTGTCAGATTAAAGGGACCTATAAGTATGTACCTAGATTAATAATATTGGCTCTGATTACAGATGTTAAAGCATTTTATGGTGAGAAAGAGAAAGGTGTTCCTCTGGTGAGCCAGACCAATGCCCAAATGTTGTGTAATAACCAGACCATTTTAAAAGTCTATGAGGTTGTTAAGCGAGAAGTGTTAATAGCTCATTTTATGATTCAGAAAATGGAAATAAAATAGTTTGCCATATTTCTCCAAAGACTCGCAAGTATCTCACAGATTTGGAAATAGAATCCAGATTTCCTGGCTCTTCTTAGTCTCTTATTTAGTCCATTAGTCCCACATTGTGTAAAGGATGTCTTTGATATTTTAGACAATTCATGTCACTTCCATTTTTATCTCTATTCTAGTTCAGATTCTCATCACCTCTCAGTGATTATGACAGTAGCCTGTTATCCCTGTTTGGGGCCTCTCTTTTCTAACTTGTACTGCTGCTTAATTCAGATTGTAATACACCATTCATTATAAGTCATTATTGCATCTCTGTGGCCTACCAGATTGAGTCCAAATCCTATGCAGAGCTGTATTACTGAGTCTTAAATGCATTTCCAGCCCTGTACTTCATCCACTGTAGTACTTAGGGGACTATTCATTTCCTTGGATGCACATTCTCTTTGCCTTTCAGGGCTTTTGCTTGTGCTATTTATTCTAAAGAACCTCTTCCCTTACATCTTTGAATGTCAGCACACATATATTGACTCACTTAATGCTCTTAGTAACCCTATAGTTCAATATATTATTGTCCCCATTTTAAATATACAGGAACTGAGAGACTCAGTAGTTAGGTTGCTAGTAAATAGTGGGATTTGAACGTAGTTCTGCGTGGTTGCAGTTTAGAATCTCCATAGCTCTTTGTTTAGACCTTCTTTTGCCACTTATGTATGTATATGTGTATATGCTTTCTATTATATCTGTTTGTATTCATCTTATCTCCCCTTTAAAATTTAAGATCCTTGAGAACAGAGGTATGTTTGATTTATTTTTTATTTCTCCCAAATCATCCTTTCTAAACCACATATGCTCAAATTTAAAAAGCACCAGTCTATTTAAGTACAAACTGATCACCAGAACTGATATGCAGTGTTCTTGTACACTCTCACTTTCCATACCCCTTATCTGGGTGAGAATGGAAGAACACCATGGAGCAAAGCCTGGTCAACAGGTATAAATCCTGTCACTGACTACTACACTAGCTTACTAAGTAACCATTTCCCCAGGACTTCATTCTCATTTTTATGAAAGATGAATCCATAGATGAAATGTTGATGTAGCAGGTAACATGCACAGAATTGTACATCCTAGAAAACGTGGTATTGAAGAAAAAGCTGTGGCATTAAAAACAAAAAAAAGGGGACATATGGTTCTGCCAGCTCTACCCCTTTGTATTATGTGATCTTAGGCAAGTCATTTAATATTTTTGAGTGTACCTACCTATTTCATGTTATCATAGGGACCAAATTCAGCAATACATGTGATGAAAGTACTTTATAAACAACATAAATATTCAAAACCCTCAGATGATGGAAAAGTTCTGAAGAGATACTTGTACATGTGCATTAATTGTCATGATTTTAGAGATTCTGCCTGTGCTGGCTTCTAATTTTATTAAAAGAAAAAAAAGGATAATAGGTTTCAGAAAGATATTTAACTAGTGACTCTGTGTTTCATAGGATAGGAGAAAGGCCAAAGATGGATTTGGTAATGGCAATCGAAAATCTGTTAAGATCCATTAGTGCAAAGGAAAATCATTTTGCTGCTATTAACATCTTAATAGTTTATAATGTGATCCTTATTATTTTTTTTTATTTACAGGCAAAGTGGAGTCAGAATTACTACAAGGTTATAATAAATACTTACCACATGATGTTGTTGTCATGACTGTGAAGTTGTGTATCCTATTTGCTGTGCTTTTGACAGTCCCTCTAATCCACTTCCCAGTAAGTAATCTTAAGGGTTTTTGTTGCCTAATGTAGCTGTATCCTAATAGGGCAACACTAATTCTTTGCAGAATAGAACATTTGAATCACATCTAGTCTTGTATATCTTATTTATTTGTCAAGTAGTTGATCAAAGATCTTGTACTTGCATATGGCCCCATGAAAGCACAAGTATAACAGTGAACCACTGAGCTAATTTGTGCTTTTTTGAGATTTAGTAAGATTTATGCCCTCCCACAGCATTGTTTCCAATTTAGAAACTATAGTTCTTCTTAAGTTTTGGGTTCCCCCCCTTTAATTCTGTATTCTGTTTTCAAAAGAATGTGTGTGAAGAGGGAAAAGTCAAGTCAGCAAAATAAGCTCCTTCTGGTATATTATAAATTTCTTTCACATAGATATTCTAGTTAATCAAAATATCGTATTTGCTCTAGAATTACAATTTAAGGGGCAGAACAGATTTGCATTCTTCATCTGGTTGCTATATATAAAAATCTTAAGACTTTCTAAGAAAATAGGAACAAAGGCTTTGGGTATAAATGCTTCTGCTTGGATGTCTTGAATCTTTAAACAGTGAGATTTTTAAGAACTGAGACTTAAAGATTTTTTTTTTTTGCCTCCTCCTGTGCAGACTACAGTGCCAAGATTACAATGGGGGCTGGATAAACTTTTGTGGGATGTGACTGCCTGCTGCCCCCTTAGCGAAGGGAAGTGTAACAAACTATTTTTCATATTTACATGCTATGAAACATAATATAAAATAGTAAATGGTGTTTCTTTCCCAGGGCATGATTTCTTTTTTTTTTCCTTCAGAAATTTTTATTCATGTTCAATCACATGTTCTACAACATAAGCACCAAAACAGAGTTATTTTTCTGACTTCTACAGTCCGGGATAATGGTGTGTCCTCGTGGATAGGGTGAAAGGCAGGGGGGCCATTACACGTTGCAGTTTGCCTCTCCTGCAACTGGAAGTGCCTCTTGGGAAGTCAATTTGATTTGGGGTGGTTGTACTGCTAATACTGTGTGTTTAAGCAACTGGAGTTCTCTGCTGAGAAACAGTGCTCCTTCTGAGTCTTGAAGTTAGTTTACCAAAAAGACTAGTGGAGCCTCAGCTTTGAGTCTGAGACAATGGTGTGGATTCAGGAGACAGGCTAGGAGAGACAGAGGGGCTGTAATATGTGGCAATTTGCTGCTCCTATGGCTGGCCATGGAAAGTGCTAAGACTGGCAGTGCCTCTTGGGAGACAGATTTGATCTGGGGTGGTTGCACTGCTAATACTGTGTATTGAAGCAACTAGAGTTCTCTGATCAGGATATGAAGTCTGTCTGGAAAGTATCCAGCCATGTTATATGAAAAATAGAAACATTTATTTAAGAAGATACAAGAAACATCAGTCCCCTCCAAAATAGACACCTTGGGACCTCAAACAGTTCTCCCAGTGTCTCTCAGCCTAACCCATACACGTTCAACATTCTCAGGTGTTCTGCTTATTGCAGGCCTTCCAGATGTGGATCACTTTCAACAGATTCTCAACCATCTTTCAAGCATTTGTGCCACACTTTTATTTGTGGTGCACTCATTGCATCATCCCTGAAAGTCTTCTGAATCATCCGAATCGTTTCCACGGAGGAATGTTCAAGCTTAATGCAAAATTTGATGCAGATTCATTGCTCTACTAGCACAGTCATTTTGAATGTGACGGCCACACAGTACACATGCTCACACAATGGCGTCTGGCACCCCACTGAATAGTACAGTGAAGTCGTAGTTGTTCACGCATGTGCATTCCAGTCCACTCTCCTTGGCTGCCAGGTTGCATTGGTATTGTGCAAACTGATGTTTTCCTGACAGACTTTGTAGTGCTGTTTTCCTTGGCATTCTGAATCACTGCGTGTCTATCATCTGTAGTTCTCTCACTGCAAATGTACGTATTTCACTGTGTCATTGCTCCAGATGCTGTGTTATTTTTTGGAAGGGCAGTATGTGGATAAAAGCGGCAGGAACGAAAAGTCCTAAAGGCAGAGACCAAGGTCCTTCTTTTCTCTGGGAAACTAGGGACAGTGGAGCTATTTTTCCATTCAGGAATATCCGCCTTATTGGGATTACTTGCATTCCCAAGCATGGGACTGGCTGGAGCAATTGCCCTTCCTCCAACAGCAATGTCACTTGATTTCCAGGAGGTAATTCCATCTTCTTTGAGGTCACTGTCTGCAGTGCTGATCTGACTCCTTTTTGGATATGTCACAACTGAAGGAACAGCTGGTCCAGCATGGTCACTGTAACGTCTCTGCTTCTGGCTTGAAGAAACAGTTCTCTGTACTTCGTGTTGGGGAGACTGGCCACTGCCGATGTTGAGATCACTGCTCAGCCTAACCTTAGTAAGTGAAAGGTTGCCACTTGAGCTGGAATCACTAGCATCCAGCTCTGAAGATTTTCTCCCCAACAACAAATATGTGGCTGTAATTTCATCATATTTCATTTTACTAAAAGATTCTTGAATTTCTTGTGAATATCCCATTCTCACCAAAATGTCTATTCTTTTCTGGTCTGAGATGTCTAGTTCTGGTTCAACAAATGGTTTAAGTTCATCTTCCTTATGCCCTGCATTGAGCCACCTGTGCTTCATGATTTGCTCTAGAGTGCCTCATTTAATTTGATTTAGCACCAGGAAACGTTTGAGAAGTTTTCTACCTTAGACGTATAGAAAGGGATTGTGATATTTCCCTCTTAATATGCTCATTCTCAGTTCTTTCAAGTTTTGCCCAAAAAAGGGAAGTGAGCCAGTGACAAACATATACAGGATCACCCTGAGACTCCATACATCAACCTTGGTATTTCTTGCCCTGGAAGAGCTTTGGGGCTGAGTATGGAAGACTGCCACAAAATGTTTCTAGTTTACTGCCAAAAGTAAATTCATTGCTTAAACAAAAATCTGCTATTTTGATGTTCATATAGATTTTCAGCCTTGAGGTCTCTGTAAAGGATCCATTTTTGATGGCAGTATTGGACTACAGGCATGATGTCTCTGAATTTAGCTCTTACTTCTTCTTTGCCCCATTCTTCCATGTTCAACCAGTCAAATACTTCATCTCTACTTCCATGTTCCATGATTGTAGAGTGTTTTTTCAGATTCAATGGCTTCATATAACTTCACTATATTTGGATGATTTAAAAGCTTCATTATTCTTACTTCTCTGAAGAGCCTTTGTAGTTGACTTGTTGGATTCCATTGAGTTTTATCAATTATTTTAATGACCACCTCTCTGCCTGTAAGGATATGTCTTGCTAGTTTCACTTTATCAAAACTCCCATTGCCAGTTGTTTTCAACAGTCTGTAGTTTCTGGTGACAGGTTCTTCATCTTGCACAGGAAGCTATAGTTTCCACACCAACCTCCAGAGTGGTCTGTGTGAGAGGTAACTTCTTCATGCTTATCTCCATCTGATGTGTGCCCAAAGTCACCAAGTCAGTGTCCTCCGGGATGACTTCTGGATCCAGACCTTCCTCAAAGCATTTCAGTTTATCAAGGCCACATAATACCTTGGTAGCTTGGCCACCACCTCCAGGCTGCAGCCCAGATGCTGGGCCACCAGAGCATGGTCTGAGTCAGCGACCTCTCCCGGGCAGCACTGGTGTCAGCGGCTTCTTCAGCGACAAGTCTCTGCGCCCCCACAGCCAACCACGCCACAGCTCCCCAAAGATGCCCACATGGAAAGCATGTATGTTTAACTCTGGAAGCTGGTATTCTGGAAAGTTGCAGCCACAAGTGCTGGGGACTGGGTCCTGCCTGCCGCAGACCCCAGTGCACATTGGACTGCCTGGGTTGCCTTCAGCCATGTTTGCCCCCCATGATTTCTTCTTCTGTTTTAAATAATTTGTTTTTCTATCTGTTGGATATAATGGAAATGATTTCCTGAGATTTTATCATAGTGTCTCATTGTTGGTAAAAAAAAAAAAATTATTCAAACTAAAAAAATTGCATGTGAAATTTTTTTTGTAGAATTAAAGCAAAATAATTTGTATGAAGCTCCAACAGGAAGGTTTATGTGTATAAACAGTTTGTGTATACATACTTTGCAATAATTTATGCTATATTTTTGGAATCTAAATGGTTTAGGAGGCAAGAATATCATGGTTACTGTACGTGCTTCTGTATGCAAATATTTTGACTTTGACACTTCCGTTTTGCTAAATCTGTTTCTTTTTCTGTAATACAGGCCAGAAAAGCTTTAACGATGATATTTTTTTCCAATTTTCCATTCTCATGGATTCGCCATTCTTTGATCACTCTAGCACTCAATGTTGTCATTGTTTTACTTGCAATATATGTTCCTGACATTAGAAATATATTTGGTGTAGTTGGTAAGTTTTCTATTTCAAGTTTTCTATTTCAAATTCATGTAATAAAATGCATAAATTGTTACCTAGCCTCACACCTGAATCCAGTAACATTCTCTATTTTTTCCCCTCCAACTTAAAGGTGCCAGTACATCAACGTGTTTGATTTTTATATTCCCAGGACTATTTTATCTTAAACTTAGCAGAGAAGATTTTGTCTCATGGAAAAAGCTTGGGGTATGTTGTTTTGTTTGTTTCTTTTAAGATATCTATTTTAAGAAATAACTTGTCATTTTATATTAATATTTTATCTGTGTTAAGAAAGTCAATATATTTTAAGATATAAAATATATTATTGGGGAGGCTGGAGGTTTAAAAAATACTCTGATTGTTCTTTATCTTTTTTCTTATTTCCACAGGCATTCATTTTGTTCTTTTTTGGAATTTTGATTGGGAATTTTAGTTTAGCACTCATCATTTTTGATTGGATTAACAAATGAAAGAAATATTTTTCTACTTTTTATGAAGAATAATTTATCTCCATATGCAAGAAGGGATAATTCTGAAACACACTTGGATGAAAAATAATACATTTATAAAAATCATTAACACAAAAGCAGAACAAAACTGCAATGGGTAGAGGAAAGTGGGAGTATAGCAGTTTTAATCAAAATAAGAAAAAAAATCTCAAAATGCTCTTAAATGTATTGGGTCAATTTTGTTTTTTTTTAATTAATAGACTTTATTTTTTAGGGTAGTTTATATTTACAGAAATATTGAGCAGAAAGTGCAGAGAATTCACATATACTTCCTTACTCCCAAACACACATAGTTTCCACTATTATTAACATCTTGCATTAGTGTGGTATATTTGTTACATTTGGTTAGTAAATGTTGATGAATTATTATTATTAACTAAAATTGATAGTTTACATTAGGGTTCATTCTTAGCAACCACTATCAACCACTGATCTTTTTACTGTCTCTATGGTTTTGCCTTTTCCAGATTGTCATTTGATTGGGATCACATAGCATGTGATCCTTTTCAGCCTGGCTTATTTCATTTACGAATATGCAATTAAGTTTCTTCTGTGTCTTTTTGTGGCTTGATAGCTCATTTCTTTTTAGGACTGAATAATATTCCATTGTTTGTTTTTCTGTTCACCTGTTGAAAGACCTCTTGTTTGCTTCCAAATGTTGGCAATTACAAATAAAGTTCTAGAAACATTTGTGTGCAAGTTTTTATGTAGACATAAGTTTTCAGCTTATTTGATAAATACCAAGGAGCACAATTTCTGCATTGTATGGTAAGAATGCGTTTAGTTTTATAAGAAACTGCCAAACTGCCTTCTAAAGTAGCTGTAACCTTTTGTATTGCCACTAGCAATGAATGGGCCTTCCTATTGTCTCACGTCCTCACCAGCATAGGGTGTTGTCAGTGTTTTGGCTTTTCACCATCCTAATAAATGTGTACTAGTATCACATTGTTTTAATTGGCAGTTCCCTAATGAACATCTCTTCATATGCTTATCTGCCATGTGTTTGTTTTCTTTGGTGAGGTATCTGTTCAATTCTTTTGCCTATATTTTTTTTTAAGGAGATGAGGTCTTGTTATGTTACTATGTTACCCAGGCTAGATTTGGACTGCTGGGTTTTACTTCAGCCTCTGGAGGAGTTGGGACTACAGGCACAAGCTACTGCACCCAGCTGCCCATTTTAAAAGTTGGATTTTTTTCTCATTGTTAAGTTGTAAGCATTTTTTATATATTTTTGATATCTGTCCTTTATGAGAGGTGTGTTTTGCAAAGATTTTTTTCCTAGTCTATGGCTTTCCTTTTCATTCCCTTAAAAGTGATTTTTGCAGAAGTTCTTAATTTTCTTAAATTCCTTGGGTCAATCTTTTGTTTGTTTATTTTTTAAGAAATCAGTGTATTAAGTTTATGTACAAAGTTGAATCTTAGCTTGTGTGTTAATGTTGTCAGCGTCAATCACTAATAATAAAATTGTGAGATTATTCCGCTTGGTATTTTGCCCTGCTTCTAAATCCTACCTAAAAACTTTAATGATTTTCCTCTGCTATTCATTTTATTTATTTATTTATTTATTTATTTTTTTTTGAGACAGAGACTCACTCTGTTGCCCAGGCTAGAGTGCTGTGGCATCAGCCTAGCTCACAGCAACCTCCAGTTCCTGGGCTCAAGCAATCCTCCTGCCTCAGCCTCTCCCAAGTAGCTGGGACTATAGGCATGGGCTACCATGCCCAGCAATTTTTTAATATTTTTTAGTTGTCCAGCTCATTTCTTTCTATTTTTAGTAGAGACAGGATCTCGCTCTTGCTCAGGCTGGTCTCAAACTCCTGACCTCAAGCGATGCTCCCACCTCAGCCTCCCAGAGTGCTAGGATTATAGGTGTGAGCCACCGCGCTTGGCCAACATAGAAGTTTATAGTTTTATAAAACTGACTGGCTGTGGACTTGAAAGTTCTGACAGCTTTCTCAGTTTGCCACTAAAACGTGACATTCTACTTGTTCTACTTGGCAGAGACAAATATTGATCATTTATATATTTTTTTCTTCTTTCTTTTTTCATACTTTTCTTTTTTTCTGCCCAGTATGATCTGCAGGAATATATCTGTTTTGTTTGGAGGTTGTAAATCATTGCAGACTTACCACTGACATGGCTTATTTCTGGTTAGAAACCAGACATTTGGGCTTTCCTCCCATGATTATTGTATATAAAGGATATGTTGTTAGCAGCCTACCAAAGCCAAGGTGTATCAGTAAAAATGTAATCCTATCCTGTTGCACATGTAAAATAGGAAATTGCATGCAAAGTACCAATTTTCATGTATGGAAGCACACACTTTTGCAGGTGCCCCCTTGCTTCTCACTTCGGAAATAAGCTGAAAAAATTGACAACTTGAAATTCTCTTTTGAGAACATCAAAGAGATACTTCTTTGACAACTTGAGAACAGCATGGCATAATGGGGAAATTCCAAGCTTTTGGGTTAGAAAGACTTGGATTCAAATGTCAGTGAAATGCATACTACTTAACCTCTCTACACCTCCACTTTCACATCGGTAAAATGGAATTAATACCTATTATACAAGATTGTGTTGAGAGGATTAAATGACTTTGTACAAATTAGATACAGACCAAAACAGAGCCTTTTAATAGATTAGATGTTTATCCTCTTTCTTCCATCCCTTATCTGGACCAAAAAATAATTTTGCTTTCTACCAAGGATGTGGAAATATATCTCAAATTTCTTCATCTTCCATCTTGCACGACTGTTATCTTCAGAGTCTTTCTTGAGCCTTCACTCACAGGGGAACTGGCCCCAAGTGCAGTGTTTTAGTGCTTTCCCACAGTTCTACCTCAGCTGTACTCTCTTACTAATGCCTTCCTGATACTAGGCATTTACCATGGTCCCAGGGACACAGCCAGATATGGCCTCTCTTGGGGCTTCAGGTCAGCCAGAGTCAATCAATCTGATAGGCTACTACTTGTACCCTCTTTTTCTGTTTATGAAATTATGGATCTAAATACAAATAGGTTTTCAGCTGCTTAAATAAATCTAACTCCAGTAATACCAAAATAACCCTAAATCTGCAACAGATGCAAGGATGACCCCTGGGGCAAATGTTAAGTGTGATGACAGCTGGGCATCAATTAATACATTTGTCACCTGCTCTCATGAGAGGATTATAGGAGATTTGGCAAAGAGACAAGTAACCTATTGAATGAACACTGCACAATATTGAGTGAAATTGAATTGAGAAAAATTATTTATGGAGTTGTTCATTTTTATTTCGCTTTAATGTTCTGTCTTATCTAGTTACCTGTTTAGAGTCACAACTTTCTCTCAGTTCTGAGGAAGTTAATAAGAGAGCTGGTGAGAGCAGTCCCCCTTTCACCGAGATTACCAAAAAACCTTGTTAAAGCACCCCTTGGAATTTTTCCTGGGATATATGGGCCTTCTTGTTATGGGCTTAATGTTCATAATTTATTAGGTAATAACTATTTATAATAAAACTAAAACACAAAATGTACACTTTTCTAACATTTGGAGACTTGTTTGCTAAATTAAAAGACGAAGTACCAAGACTATAAATTACTTTTGTATGTTGAGGGTGAATGTTTAAATTATACTTTTTTTTTCTTTTTTTTTTTTAACAGAATGTTTACTCATGAGCTTAGCATTTAAATGGTTAAAACAAGCCTTTGAAGTTAACACTCCATTAAGATGAATAGGGGTAATTCACACCTCTGCTGGTGCTATATTATTTCAGTCTAGCTGCGGAGAAAACAAGACAGCATTAGGTTGATTTACTGTGTGAAGGCCCTTTAAACACCCAAGGTCTGGAAATCTTTGTTGTTTGTGTGGGTTTTTTTTTTCCCCTCTTTCCATCTAGAAGCAGGATCTGAAATTCTACCCGATGTACATATAGAATTGAGGTCTTGAAAGTACCATAGATTCTCTGCTATCTGGCAATTCCCTATCTGGCATTGATTGGGTGGCAAGTTACCAGATCAACCCAACCTCTCTGGACTTTGTGTTTGCTCCTGTACTTTAATGTTTCTTTCTACCACAGCATTTTAAAACTTCATCTTAGTATGCTGATAAATTCACCAATGGAAACGCAGAAACAAACTGTCCATTTTCAGGTGAACTTTATACCTTTAAATGGGTTATGGGCTAAGCATTGGCATTCAAATGCCACATTTTCATCTTTGCAAAATGTCTAGATATAAAGTGCCTACCTTTAAGAACTTTTTTCCTTCTCTATAGTCCTGGGGTAGTAAAGTTAGCAGAGATCAGTTGGAAAAGATTCATTTCTTTCTCAATGTGTGCTTTGTACCAGTACTATATTGTACTAGAAGCATGTATTCTACCCATTGGTGGGAGTATGACAGCAATTTGACCCTGAAAGGATTCATTTTAAAGCATAGGAATAAGATTATCTTAACACAAATGAAATAGTAAACATTATATGAGATGTTATGAATATGGAAGCTCTCTTTTTAAGGTAAACAGATTTTTCTCTTCTTTCTTTGCCCTGCATGTTTGCAGGATCAGGTTACTGGATAATCTGTGGGTAGCTGGGTGTGGAGAGTATTTCCGCTCTGGGCTGTCTGTAGTGCTGACATTGCCAGTACAGTATATTGAGATAGAAAATAGACGCTAGAAACAAAGGAATTCAAACTGAATTAATTTAACCTGTTTTTCTTCTTGGCATGTTGACAGTTCTCTGCAGCTGTGTTAGAATTAGCCCCCTATGTTAAACATACTTCCTGCAAATTTTCCTGCCTGGATTTTAGATGTCATAATTTTTTACCTTAGAACTTCTCAGACCTTTCATAGTACTGAGAAATTTGTTTTTCTAATTTAAAATAGCAATTTATTCATCCTTCTACTGGTAGTTTTCCCATAAAGACATAGGAAAAAATGGAAAACAAAAATTTCTTCATTGCAAACAGAATCCTTACTATCATGATGATCTCTTGTCCTAATTTGCCAGGCTGTCTATCAAGACAAGCAATTATGAGGAACAGGAAGGCTCATCTTGGCTGGTGGCCAAATGGACAGGTGGGATTGAAAGGTTTATTCACCTATGGGACAGACTTATTGAGTGGAGAACAATGTAGAAATTGCTCTTTAAATTTTGTGTTGCCATTTAGCTTTTCACATTTAATAAACACCTTATTTCTCTGACTCAGCTGTAATTAACTCAAAGACAAGAACCATGTCATGTACATTCTAGCATCTCTCACAATAACACAATAGGTTCATATAATTAGTTCTCAGTAAATATTTGTTAACTCTTACTTCATTGTGTGTTTAGAGTTTTCTTATGGCTCTGATCAATGCCATATGAAAATTGTCCCCTTTGCATGTGTGCTATTCCCAGCAGAGGAAGGGACCAGTGTGTGATATTCTTAAGAAAGATGCTGTCTTAGTCTGTGTTGTGCTGCTATAACAGAATACCACAGACAGGGTAATTTATAATGAACAGAAATTTATTGACTTACAGTTCTGGAGACTGGGAAGCCCAGTATCAAGGCGCCAGCAGATCTGGTGTCTGGTGAGGACCCTGTCTCAATTCCAAAGATGGATTCTTGAATGCTACATCCTCTGGGGGAAGAAACACTGTTCCAACATGGCAGAAGAACAAAGAGTGAAGAGAGAAAACCTCTCAAAAGCTTTTTTATTAAGGTATTAAACCCACTCATGAGGGTTGAGCCCTCATGGCCTAATCACCTCTTAAAGGCCCCACCTCCCAATACCACTACATTGGCAATTAAATTTCAACATGAGTTTGGGAGGAAACAAACATTTAACCATAGCAGATGCCATTCATTGCTATGGTTTCTCCAGGATCCTGTATTATCATTGACTCAGAATGATCAACCAATCCTTGGTTCTATTATCAGATTTGGTTAGTTTGAATAATTCAGTATAAAGGATACAGCTAACACCAAGCAAGTGTGCAGTGCTCTTCATATCCTGTAACTTAGTAGATAACACATTTTTCTGCCATTTACTATGAGTTAAGCAAAAAAGCTCTGTTCCATGAGTTTTTCCCAACGTTTTATTATGAAAAATTTCAACCATAAATATAAGTTGAAATAATAAGCTCATATATCCACCACTGAAATTTAACATTTTTTCATGTTTATTTTGTTGCTCAAAATTATATTTGCATATATATAAATTATATGTAAATATACAATTGACCCTTAAACAACATGGGTTTGAACTTTGCAGGTTCACTTATATAGGGATTTTCTTCTGCCTCTGCCACCTCTGAGACAGCAAGATCAACCCCACCCCTTCATTTTCCTCCTCAGTCTATTCAACATGAAGACAATGAAGACATTTATTCACTTCCACTGAATGAATAGTAAATATATTTCCTCTTCCTTATCATTTACTTAATAAAATTTTCTTTTCTTTAGCTTACTTTATTGTAAGAATGCAGTATATAATACATATAGCATGCCAAAAATGTGTTAATCAACTATTTATGCTATCAGTAAGGCTTCCAGTCAACAGTAGACTATTAAGTTTTGAGGGAGTCAAAAGTTAAACTTGAGGAGAAAGTATTCAAGATGGCTGTCTAGATGCAGCTAGTACTCACCTCATCCATGGAGATGGAACTACAATAGCAAGTAGATAGTCACATTACAAATAGATTGTCTAAGAGAGAACAGTAGAATTCAACAGAGAAGTGACAAGAAGCACTGAAAGCAAAGAAGAGGGAAGTGAGGCAGCCTGATTGGCCAGGATTGGCTGTGAGTCAGGAGAAGGTCTTGGATGTGGGGAAAGGGTAAGTGAAAGACCCCCAGGGCTCCACATTCCCACCATGGGCTTTTACAATCCTAGGTACTGGAGAGCCCCTCAACCCATGTGGGCCCTGAGACTAGCACAGAGATGCACAGAGGCATTATCTGGAAAGAGAACTCATGCAGAGTCCCACAGGCTTCAAACCCTGAGCACCTGCAGCTTGGTGACAATTCTGAGAGCCAAGCCTCCAGAGGACTGTGTCTTGGCTCAGTGCTAATGTCTCCGTTTCTGCTGCAGGGCCAAGGAGGGAGAAGGGATGTCAGGCACCTTAATGTGCCCTGAAGACAAATCCCACAGCCTCTGCTTCAGGCTGTTGTGGAACCAAGGCACAAGCAAGTCACACGCCCCACAGCTACCAGCCTACCTTGCTCTTGCTGAAAGTTGAGAGTGGCCCTGCCCTCCCTGGTTTCAAGTTCACAGCCAGGTTTGTTCTGAGATCCCAGTCTCCAAAGGTTTACATCCTGCCCTGAGTCCAGCATAGAATGCAGCCACTGCCACTGCTGGGCCAAGGAGATAGAGGGGAGGCTGGGTACTTTCATATGCCTTGAGGACAAAATCCACTGCCACTGCTACAGGCTACTGTGGGACCAAGGTATGCAGAAACCAAGCAACCCCCAGCTACCTCCCTAGGTTGCTCCCACTGAGAGTGGCCTCACCCTCCCTGGTGGCAGGCCTGCAGCACAGTCACCACTGCCTATACCTGAGCATCCCACCAGTGGCCTGAGGATCATCCTTCCCCTGCCTATCAGAGCCATTTAACAAAATATTAGTTGAAAACTTCCTAAGTCTAGCAAGAGACCTAGACTTCTAGATACAGGAGGCCCAAAAATTCTCAAACAGATAGAATGCAAAAAGATGCTGTCTACAGCACATTATAGGCAAGCTGTCTAAAGTCAAAACAGAGAATACTAGAAACAGCAAGAAAAAAGTGTCTATTCACCTATAAACAAAGTCCCATCAGACTAACAGTGGATTTCTCAGCAAAAACTTGACCAGGAGACAATAGGGTGACCTATTAAAAGTCCTGAAAGAAAAAAACTCTGTCACCCAAGGATACTATATCCAGCAAAATTATTCTTCAAAAATGAAAGAGAAGTATTTCTCAGATAAGCAAATGCTATGTGGGAATTGACTACCACTAGACCTGCCCTACAAGAAATGTTCAAGGGAGTGCTAAACTGGGAAACAAAAGGACATTTACCACCATGAAAACACACAAAAGTATAAAACTCACTGGTAAATGAGAAAGAGAAAGGACTCAAGTGGTACTGCTATAGTATACCACCAAACCACAATGACAAGCAAAAGAGAAAAAATATGCAAAACAACCAGAAAATAATTCAATTAACAACATAACAATAACAAAACCTCTATATTAATAATAACCATGAATGTAAATGGATTAACATCTCCACTTAAAATATATAGATTGGCTGGGCATACTGGCTCATGCCTGTAATACCAGCAATTTGGGAAACCAAAGTGGAAGGATTGGTGGAGGCCAGGAGTTCAAGACCAGCCCGGGCACCATAGTGAGACCCCATCTTTATAAAAATTAGCCAGGCCGGGTGTTACATGTCTGTAGTCCTCCCTACTTGAGAGGCTGAAGCAGGAGGATCATTTGAGCTCAGGAGTTCAAGGCTGCAGTGAGCTACAGTCACACCACTGCACTTTAGCCTGGGCAATAGGGTAAGACCCTATCTCAAAAAAAAAAAAAAAAAGGATATAGATTGGTGGGATGAGTAAAGAAACATATACTGGCTATAGGAAATACACTTTACCTGTAAGAACACATATAGTCTCAAATAAAGGGATGGGAAAAGATATTCCACACAAATTGAACCAAAAGCAAACAGGAGTAGCTATATGTGTATCAGATAAAAGAGTCTTAAAGTGAAAACAGTGAGAAAAAAAAGACAAGTTCACTATATAATGATAAAGGGCTCAATTCAGCAAGAGGATATAACAATTCTAAATATAAATGCACCGAACACTGGAGAACTCAGATTCTCTAAAGCAAATATTTCTAGATCTAAAAATAGATACAGTCTATAACACAATGATAGGGACTTCAATAGGCCACTCTCAGCATTACACAAATCATCTAGACAGAAAATCAACAAAGAAGTATTGGATTTAAACTGGATTCTAGACCAAATGGATCTAACAGACATTTGCAGAATGTTTTATCCATCAACTGCACAATATACATTCCTCTTATTAGCACATGGAACATCATTCAGGATAGACCATATGTTAGGCCACAAAACAAATCTCAACAAATTTTAAAAAATCAAAATCATATGTATCTTCTCAGATCACAGTGGTATGAAATCAGAAATCAACATCAAGAGGAACTTTGAGGAACTATACAAATATGTGAAAGTTAACATGCTCCTGAGCAACCATTGGGTCAGTGAGGAAATTAAGATTGAAATCAGAAAATTTCTTGAAACAAAAATTGAAACACAACATAAGAAAACCTGTAGAATACAGAAAAAGCAGTGCTAGGAGGAAAGTTTATAGCAATAAATGGCTACATCAAAAAAGTAGAAGGATTTCAAATAAGCAACCTAACAATGTACCTCAAGAAACTGGGAAACCAAGAACAAACCCAAAATTAATAGACAGAAGGAAATAATAAAGATAGACTAAACAAAATAAAGAATAAAAAAATTACAAAGATCAACAAAATGAAAAGTTGGTTCTTTGAAAAGATAAAATTGATAAACCTTTCACTAGACTAACCAAGAAAAGACCCAAATAAGCAAAAGCAGAAATTTAAAAGGAGACATTACAACTGATACCACAGAAATGCAAAAGAGAATCAGAGACCATTATGAACAACTACACACTAACAAACTGTAAAATCAAAAGAAAGTGGATAGATTACTGGAAGCATACAACCTACCAAGATTGAATCAGGATGAAATAAAAAACCCAAATAGACCAATGATGAGTAAAGAGACTGAGTCAGTAATAAAAAGTCTCCTAACAAAGAAAAGCCCAGGACTGGTTGGAGTCACAACTGAATTCTACTAAACATATAAAGAAGATATAATACCAATCCTCTTGAAACTATTGCAAAAAAATGAAGAGAAGGGAACTCTCCCTAACTCATTCCACAAGGGCAGCATTACCTTGATACCAAAACAAGAAAAGGACATAACAAAAAAAGAAAATTAAATATCCCTAATGAACATAGAAGCAGAAACCCTTAACAAAATACCAGCAAACCAAATCCAACAGTACATCAAAAAGATAATAAACATGACCAAGTGGGATTTATACCAGGGATCCAAGGATGGTTCAACATACACAAATCAATAAACGTGATACATCACATCAACAGAATGAAGGACAAAAACCATATGATCATCTCATAGATGCAGAAAAATCATCTGATAAAATTCAACACCTTCATGGTAAAAACTCTCAACAAACTAGGAATAGAAGGAACTTACATCAAAATAATAAAGGCTATATATGACAAACCCACAGCTAACATCATACTGAATAGGGAAAAGCTGAAACCCTTTCTTCTGAGATCTAGAACAAGACAAGGATGCCTGCTTTTCACTCTCCATAGTACTGGAAGTCCTACCAAGAGCAATCAGGTAAAAGAAATAAATAAAAGACATCTAAATTAGAAAAGAAGTCAAATCCTCCCTCTTTGCCAATGATATGATCGTATATCTAGAAAAATGCAGACTCTGCCAAAAAACTCCTAAATTTGATAAATAAATTCAGTCAAGTTGTAGGATACAAAATCAATATACAAAAATCAATAGCATTTTCATACATGAATAATGAGCTAGTTAAGAAAGAAATCAAGAAGGCAGTCCCATTTATAATAGCTATATATATTTAAAAAAAGAACAAAGAAAGAAAATCCCTCAAAATAAATCTAACCAAGGAGGTAAAACATCTCTACAAGGAAAACTACAAAACACCGATGAAAGAAATTGAAGAGGATATAAACAAATGGAAAGACAAGCCATGCTCATAGATTGGAAGAATTACTATCATTAAAGTGACCATATAGTCCAAAGCAATCTATAGATTCAATGCAATTCCTATCAAAATGCTAATGTAATTTTTCATGGAATTAGAAAAAAACAATTCTAAAATTCAGATGGAACCAAAAAAGAACCCAAATAACCAAAGCAATCCTGAGCAAAAAGAACAAAGCTGGAGGCATCACACTACTTGACTTCAAAATATATTACAAAACTATAGTAAGCAAAATAGCATGGTATTGGTATAAAAACAGATACATAGATCAATGGAACAGAATAGAAATTCCAGAATTCTATATATATATGGTCAACTAATTTTTGATAAAGTCTCCAAGAACATACACTGGGGTTAGAACACCCCCTTCAATAAATGGTGCTGGGGAAGTTGGGTATTCACATGCAGAAGAATGAAACTGGACTCCTATCTCTCCTATATACAAAAATCAACACAAGATAGATTAAACACTTAAACATAAGACCTAGAACTATAAAACTACTATAAAATAGCTTAGGGAAAACACTTCAAGACATTGGTCTAGGCAAATATTTCATGGCCAGGATCTCAAAAAGCACAGACAACTATAATAACTAGATATACAAAAATAGACAAATGAGACAATATTAAACTAAAAGCTTCTGCACAGCAAAGGAAACAATCAATAGAGTCAAGGGACAACCTGCTCAGTAGGAGAAATTATTTGGAAACTGTTCACCCAAAACAAGACTAATATCCAGAATATACAAGGAACTAAAACAACAATTTTTTTAAAAAATTCCATTAAAAAGTGGGTTAAGGACATAGACATTTCTCAAAAGAAGACATACAAACATACAAATGGCCAACAGATATATGAAAAAATGTTCAACATCACTAAGTATCAGGAAAATGCAAATCAAAACTACAATGAGATATCATCTTACCCCAGTTAGAATGGCTAGCGAAAAGAAAAAAATAGCAGTTGCTGGCATAGATGCAGAGAAAAGGAAACCCTTACATACTTTTGATGAGAATGTAAATTAATGTAACCACTATGGAAAACAATATAGAAATTCCTCAAAAAACTAAAAATAGACCTACCATATGATTCAGCAATCCCACTTCTGGGTATTTATCCAATTAAAAAAAATCTGTATATCAAAGAGATATCTGCACTCACATGTTCATAGAAGCACTATTCATAATAACAAAGATATGGAATTAAGTGTCAATCGATGGACAAATGGATAAAGTAAATGTAGTATGTATTCACAATGGAATACTATTAGATAATAAAAAAGAATGAATTCATGTCATTTGCAGCAACATGGATAGAACTGGAGGTTATTATGTGAAGTTAAATAAACAAGACACAGAAAAACAGATGCTGCTTGTTCTCAAACATATGTGGTAGCTAAAAACATTGATCTCATGAAGATAGAGAATAGAAGGATGGATACCAGAGGCTGAGAAGGGCATGTGAATGGGTGAGGAGAGGGGGGAAGAGAGGTTATGAGTACAAATATATAGTTAGAACAAATATGCCCAATATTTGATAACAGAGTAGGGTGACCATAGATAGAAGAGAGAACTTAAATGTTACCAACACATAGAAATGATAAATATTTAAGGTGATGGATACCTCAAATACGCTGACTAGATCATTTCACATTCTATGCATGTAACAAATATTCGCATGTATCCCATAAATATGTAAAATATTTTATATCAATAAAAAAATAAAATGTAGGTTCCCAGGCTTCCCTCCCTTCCCCCAAAAAAGTTAAACTATGATTTCTCATTAGAAAATCTGATTTCCTATTAGAGAAATAGGGTTATTACTCTAACCCCTATGTTGTTCAAGGGTCAACTGTTTATACAAATATTCATATTTGCTGAGCGATTTGCAAAGTAAGTTACCAGTAAGTTACTGATAGTGTATGGAGCAGTAAGTTGAAAATTGTTTTTTATAAATGTCATCATCTATCTTAGCTCCATAGCAAAATACCATAGATTGGATGGCTTAAACAACAGAAATTTACTTTCTCGCAGTTCTAGAGGCTGGGAAGTCCAAGATCCAGGTGCTGACTGGATTGATTTGGCTTTCTTCCTGACTTGCAGATGGCTACCTTCTTGATGTGTCCTCATGTGGTGGAGAGAGCGACCTCTCTCTTTCTCTCTTTTCTTAAATCTACTAATCCCATCATAAAGACCCCAACCTCATGACTTAATCTAGCCCTAGTTACCTCCCCAAAACCCCATCTCCAAATACCATCACATTGAGGGTTAGGACTTCAACATGAATGTAGGGGTGGGAGAAGACACAATTCAGCCCACAGTATTTTCTGTAAACAAATATAATTTGTTTCATAACCTTTTTTTTCAACCAAATTATATCCCTTTTTCCAAAAGGATAAGAAATTTGATGGCATCTTTTCCTTAATTGCAAGAAGACTGTATACATGAAAAAACATTGTTCAAGAAGGGAGAAGCAGCTGGCCTCAGAACTTCTCTTGGTAAGGAAAATATCTTTAATGTCTTTGCTTAGGAAAATATTTTGATAAGCTATTTGGGTGTGAAAGGCTAGATCCTATATGGTGGCCGAACAATGTGATTGTACGAAATGCCTGTAAATTGTATACTTTAAAGTGGTTAATTTTATGTTATTGAATTTCACCTCTATTAATATAAAATGTGTGACCCTAGGAAAATGGGTTGGCAGGAGAAAAGGCAGTGAGTTAGATAGCTAAGCCACTCTGCATGAAAAAGAACATGGATTGGGGAGTTGGAGAAATGGAGAGGGAAAGGGGCAGAGAGTGCTACACCAGTGGTAGGAGTCTGCAGTCTGGGGAAAATTGGCTGAAGGGCATTTTAACAAAAGAAATGTCTAATATTCAATTTCAATTTGCCCACCTCTGTATCCTGAAACCAATAAAGTCAGCTATGTACAAAAGTGCCTCTTCTGAACAGAGTTGTGTGTGTAAACCCTCCTCTGGAGCCACATGGAACAGAACAAGAACAGCATTGTGCTAGCCAGATGATCCAGAAACCTCAAAAAAAGTGGACTACAAAGACAGAAATGACCAAGAAAAAAATGTAAGCCACCTGCTTCCTCCCAGGGTCATTGGAGATGTCAGGTGGGTTGTGGGATTAACCTCATATGAGGTTAATCTAACAGCCTGTTAGATTAATCAACAGGCTGTTGAACTGACAGCCTGACTCTCAAAGTGCAGGTAACTTTAGTTGATGTCTCATTGGCAATATATTGTCATTTCATTGATTTAAGAGTTCATTTTTAATTAATCATCACTGGTACTTGTAGGGAAATGCCTCTTTTTAGAGACAAAAGGACCAAACCTCCACAGAGGTAAATCTTGGGAGTTGAGAAGAGCTCTATACCTTCTGACATTTGCCTTAAGGATCATTTTCCTAGATTCTCTATAACCAAGCCTGGTAGTTCCAAAACCAGGCTCCCAGAACTTGCCTTATGTCAATCTGGTTTTTGGTGTGTTTGGGATCAGAACAACTTGAGCCTGTGTCTCCTTGGCTGGTGGCAATAGGAATCAAAGGGAGTGGGGCCCCTAGGGAAGGGCATTCCCGTGGAAAAGAGTGAAGGCCATTTTTACAGTTCCCTACTTCTCTAACCCAGTTCTCCATTCTGTTAAAATCTGAGAGAGTTTGGTATTTTCAATGAATGGAAGACTGTCAATGTCATAAAATGACAATGATGAGCTAACACTTCTATGTATGGACCAGGCACTATGCCAAGCACATTATCTGATGTAATGTGAGGTAGGTACAGATATATTTCCCATTTAATGAATTAGAAATGAACATTTAGAGAGGTTATGAGGTTAAGTGACTTGTCCAAGTTCACACATCTAGACTATAAACTTAAAATTTGACTATAAAGTGTTAATAATTAAATATATACAACGGTTGGGAGGTTTTTTCCCACAAAAAGTTCTACTCATGCTCAGTATGTAGTCAATATTGACTGTGTTGAAGGATGTTTTATCAATTTAAAATGTGGCACCTGTTCTGCCACATCACCCAGACAGCATTTGGGCCTGCTTTGTGTCCTCTTGAGTCATGGTTCATTGTCATAGCATTCTTGTTTATCCTTTGTTAAGTATTTCAGAGGAAATTCTGGACAAAGAAAAGGTATATGGGCTTTTAAGTACAGCAGGAATGTGTTCCAATATTTGTCAACTAGACTGTGAGAAAACTTGGATTGCTTACAAAACAGGGTCAGAAATCCATTTCTGTATTCTATTACTCTCTACAAATACAATTTTTAAAAATCCAAATATAGCTTAGACGATCAGTAATCTAATTCAGCATTTCCTAGACTTGAGACAGCTTTTGCATCTTTGGGACTTCAAGATGAATTTTGGGATATTGCCAACTTTTTATTTTATAAATTGTGGATGTTAAAAACTTGCCATCTATCATCACCTTTAATATAAAAAATTAAAGAAGGTTATAATATAATAAAATATAGTCCTTGAAGTTCAAGGACTTGATTTGTGAAAAACTTGCTACATAACCCTTATTTTTTCAAGAACCAATGAAAACTTTCTCATAAACCAACACTTGGAAACTACCAGTCTAAATAACCAGTCAATATTCAAAATTCAATAAAGATTTCTTTACTTCTAATGCTTACTGACTTCAATTATCTTATATTTGGAAGGAAGTATATATAAAAATAGACTAATGACTTAGTTGGCTTTTCCTCCAATAATTGCTGATCCTAACATTTAGAAGGGAAAAATATATAAATAATTAATTCCTGGTTTACAAATTAATAAAATTTTTGCCAACATTTCAGGATTTAGAGAAAAACATTGACAGAGCATTTCTATTGCAAAACTTCATAAGTTTATATGATATGTCTAAAATCAATCAATAATGATTATACCATGATAATATTTACATTTCATGGGGAAGCAAAGTACTTGGAAACTCTCCACGTGTCTGTCTAAAGATTTGTCATTTATTTGCATTCAAATAAATTCTTTGCTTTCATTCATCCAGAATGGCTCTCAACTTATTAGCTAACCAGACTAAATAAATAGAGTTGCATTCATTCATTTTAATGTCAATGTAAAAATGGCTTTCACAAATTTTTTTTATTTTCAATCAAATTCCCCAAAAGATATGTAATCACTCCAACACTCAGTTACTTAAATATTTCACAATGTTGCCACTTCTATAGTAAAACAAAAAGTAATTTGCTTTCAGTAAATCAGAGAGCCATACTCTACAGTGTTTCCCCAAAAATAAGACCTACCCATAAAATAAGCCCTAGCAGGATTTCTAAGCATTTGTGCAATATAAGCCCTACCCCAAAAATAAGACCTAGTGATGGGCATGGCTACGCAGCATATCTGCACAACCCATGCATTTCGTCATGGAGTGGTAAGAAGACGAGCAGCCCTTCCCATCTGCCCCATCGTGACAGCTACTATCCCAGAGGTGACCGGAAAGGTGGGGGTAGCCCCACCAACAAGGTCAGTTCCCCCTGTCAGGTCTCGGCCATCCTATGCATGCTGCAAGATGAGGCTTTGAGGGGAAAAGTAACGCATCCCCTGAAAATAAGCCCTAGGGTGTCTTCTTGAGGAAAAATAAATATAAGGCCCTGTCTTATTTTGGGAGAAACATGGTAGCAACCTGGAACTTTATTCTGGTAAGACAGAATTATTGAACTCTATTTCCAGCTCCATTTGTAAACAGATAATTTTCCCTGTCATAGAGGTATATGGCATTGTTAGGTATATATAGTATTAATATTTGTTCTTCAGTTGGTAAACTTCTCCCGGAACTTATTATACAATCCAATGGAGGCAACCTGTGTACAATAACGAGGATGGTCATATCCTGAAAGACAGGGCTTGGCCTTTGTGTATCCTGTGTGTGCACTAGGCAGGCTATCAGTGGGTGCCTGTTGAAAGAATGAGTATCTTGTTGAGTAATACGAACATTAAAAACTCTGCTAGACAAGTTCATAGGAATGAGGGCTCACTGCCTTCTGGGCGAGTGGGGAAGATTTTGTGGAAGAAATAACAGCTGAAGCAAAATTGAAGGATAGCCAAAGTACGAATGAGAAACACAGGAAGACACTCTTACTTGGAAAGAAAATAATAATAATACATACAGGAATACAAGATATATTTTGGAAATGACAAGTAAAAATTTTGCCAGGAGCAAATAGCAATTTGATAAATAAAGCTGGAAGGTGGGATCCTGATTGTAGAGAATGCTGGAGGCCAGCTGAGTTTGGACTCTATGCCAAGTAGAAGGCAGGTCTTGATTGAAGGCTTTTGAGCAAGGTTTGCTCAAAAATGGTGGTAGCAAAAGATTAATCACCTCTATATTTTGTACTAGCACCATCACTATCTCCCAGAAGCAAGGAAGGAACACTTTCAGCCTTCAAGAGCTGGTTATCTAAAAACCCACACATTCACTCTTGAGTTGTTAAGTCATAGCTTCAGGGGGCATGAAGAACTTTCTCTAGAGTTGTGGGAAATCCCTTATGCATTCAGGTCCTATTAAGACCTGTGGTGTTTTAGAGGACTTCCCATGAGTTTCTGCCTCCATACTTCTGCATAAGCCATTCATGCTGTTTTCTCTCCCCTCCAAATCCCTTCCTCTCCCTGTAAACCTAATTCAACACTCACCTCTTTTGGAAGGACTTCCCAGACTGTGATTTCATGTAACTCTGTTCACTCCATTACTCAGGAAACCTACCCCCCAACATCTTGATACTACATTTAATTTCTCTAAATGATACAAATTCTTGTATATTCATGTGCCTAACCACCCAGTCACATCCTTTAGGAGAGATGCTATGTCTGTCAGTGTCTTTATACTCCCTCCCAAGACCTGCCTCCCATCCTCACTCCACCTGCTTAGCTCACAGGCTTCAAGGCACAGTGTAGAGGTCATGATGAATGTTGATGGTTTAAGAGTATACCCTGAACAACAAAGGATTTTTTTCAAACTGAAATCCTATGGGATCCATGGAATGTGGATAGTCACTTCTCTTTGGCTCCAGCTCCTTTTGCCAGCATGTGTAGAGCTTCTAGAACAGTCCCTAGCACAAGAGAATCTCTTCATATGCCTTGCTCCTAGCCTCACTTTCTCCAATTTCTGTGGGCCTGTTGACATAGTCAAGCTGTTAATAACCTAGAATTGTACACCATGAAAAGCAAGCATTAAAAAGCAACAACAACAACAAAAAACTCTGAATTTTATGCAGGCTCAATATTTTTTTTTTTTTTTAGACAGAGTCTTGCTCTCTTGCCTGGCCTAGAGTGCTGTGGCATCAGCTTAGCTCACAGCAACCTCAAATTCCTGGCTCAAGCGATCCTTCTGCCTCAGCCTCCCGAGTAGCTGGGACTACAGGCATGCGCCACCATGCCCAGCTAAATTGTTTTTCTATAGATTTTTAGTTGGCCAATTAATTTCTTTCTATTTTTAGTGGAGACAAGGTCTTGCTCTTGCTCGGGCTGGTTTCGAATTCCTGACCTTGAGCGATCTGCCTGCCTCAGTCAGCCTCCCAGAGTGCTAGGATTACAGGTGTAAGCCACCACTCTGGGCCTTGCAGGCTCAATTTTTAAGAACTGTTTCTTCCTAACTCAGGTTTATTCTCATTCATCTACTCTCATACATCTATGACTAATGAAGGTAAGGACACCTTGCCCATTATACACACATAATTCCATCCCTCCAAATTTTATTTAATGTTCTCTAGAGCCTGTGTGTTATGTGACCTGTTGTGGGCAGAGGCCTTTCTGAGGGAATCTGTGATGCCAGATGGGCAAAGTCATATCTTTATCTCTAGGGTCCAGCCTGGTAAAAATCATAGCACCTAAGGATCTGGAGCTGACCCTCTTCCATAAAATTTGTGCCTTCCAAAAATATATTTTAGGTTGCCTGTACCTGCATGCAATAGTTTTTTATAACAACCACTGCCTCAGACTAAGCTTCAGAGTCCTACCCTCATGGATGCAAATCAAAACAGCTCAGAATCAAGTCTGGGAAGCAAGTCCAAGTGGTTGATTTGCATGGGGAGCTTTTGTCTCTGAGTG